TTAAACAATCCCTCACGAGCTTACTCAAGCATGAACCCCAGCTCTGGATCACACTGTATGTCACAATGCACCTGGACTTCCCTCTTAAGAATAAAGAGACAGATTTGCTAAAATTCAATTTACTACTGAAACAAAACAAACAAACAAAAAAAGTTAAAACTACAGAGAGATGTACCAACACCTAAAAATGTGGAAAAAAAAAAAAAAAATCTGAGTTAGTTTAGCATTAGCATTTTGGTTTTAAGGCACTTACAATCATAAATGGTCATGCATAAAGTAATGTAAAAAAAAAAAAACATAAATAATGAGAATTAATTTAGAAAGAAGTGCCAATATTTAGCAGGCATTATATATTTAACTACTCCTATTCTCTGTTCTAGTCACTCCTCAACGTCTGGAGCACGTGGTCCAGTGCTAGGCTCCCCATTACACAGAGAGAAATGGACTTAGTGGAGCATGCCCCCAAAGGGCATCTCTCACATGAGAACAGGCTGAGAGAACTGGGATTGTTTAGCATGGAATAGAAAAGGCTCAAGTAGTTCTTATTAATGTTTGCAAATACTTGGTTGGAGGGAGTAAATAAGATGGAGCCAGACTTTTCCCAGTGGTGGCCAGAAACAGGAGAAGAGGCAATGGGCAATAACTAAAACACAGGAAATTCCATCGGGAAATAAGGAAACACTTTTTTATTTTCTTCACTGTGAGGGTGGTCTAACAGTGGAACAGGTTGCCAAGAGGTGCTGTCCAGCCTCAACTACTCTGGCACTCTGTGAGCACGTGGCTGTGGCCTCTCTCTGTTCCTGTGACTTCATACCACAAAGTGCAGCCTGTCAATTTGGATGGCAACCACCCCCAAATTCTTTCTGCAGCATTTTTTCATGCATTTTTCATTCCTGCAGTATGCTCCACCACCCTCTCAGTTTTTGACCCAGTAAACAAGATTGACATCTCCTTTACCATAGTCGAGTTTCACATACTAAGCAGGAAGACACTTGAGAGGTTCCTATTTCTATCCATACTATTTTCAGCAATAAAAAAAAATTGTGCGGTAACTGTGACATCATCATGAGAGTTTTTCATAGGTTACTATAAAACTAGATTCACAAATAATCGTTGGATACATCAGATTAGAACTCCTTTCTCCTGTAAATCAGATAAATCACTGAGAACTGCCTTAGTAGGAAAGTGTTGAGGGGAAGAATGTATTCAATTACATCACTCTTCTTTACAATCTCAGTCCCTAAAACAGCATGCCTTTTTCCACACAGGATTCAGAGTCTTGATGTTTCTTGAGCCAGTCACCTTAGCCCTTCCTTTCATTCCAAACTAGAGGAGGAATCCCCTTCCCATCTTATAAGGGCACCTTATTAACACACAGTCATGCTCTGTTAGACAACAGCCAAATGAATACAACACCAACTGTGATACAGGACTGCCAGGTCCAAATCTACATCTTCTCCACTGTAGGCAGGCTACTTGACTTGGCTTTTGGTTGCTGGAAGAACACTCTCACCACCATCATCTGTTTCGGTGATTTACAAAGAATTTTGCCAAAAACAAAGTACAGCAGGAGGAATTCTGCTCGTCAATGCAGTCACCAAGGAGCATGGACAGGTTCCAGAGAGTGCTCAGATTACTCACTTATGCATGTTACGCAACAGTCTTTGTAAAACCCCAGTCTCAACACCCAAAACAGCTAAAAGTGAGTACCCTAAACATTAGGCCAGATTTCATGTTCTCTTTACCTTACTCTTCCAGGTCACAGCCCTATAAACACTTCATTCAGTGCTGTCCAGTAGCACTGGACAAATTGCATGTTAGGATAAAAATGCTTCCTCTCACTGGCCAAAGTCCAAAGCAACATAAAGCGCAACGCCGCTATTCCAGAAAGACAGAAGAGATATGTAGGAGTCCTTTCACTCATAGATTAAACATCATTCTCTCCTGTGAATTAGTGTAATTAATATGTTGTTATATAAAAAAAGAAAACATTATGACCCATTCCTTATGTTTTTTGTTTTTTTCATGAAAGAATTTTGTGCCAGCATGTTCTGTATGAAACTTCCCAGCCTGTAGATAGCTCACAGAGAGAAATAAACCGTATCTATTTCATCAGGCTATAAGACCTATGTGGTACAATAACTCTCATATTGATCCCAAATGTCGTTTGGTGTAACCACTACCTAGATTCTTCAACAATCCCAAAACTGGAAAACTTCCTTGGTCATGGAAATTTCATAGAAAAAGGAAGCCTCTTCAACAGGCATTCTGAAGATCACAGACTTTAGATTCAGATAATTAATTCTCACCCACACCAATAGCCTACATAGGAAGGTAGGGGAAAGTGACCTATGCATTGGTTAGAACAATTTCCTACAGAGAATGCACCTTTAAAACAGGCTTCAAATTGCAACCCAAATGCAAGTGAGTTTTTGGGGGGATTTTCTGTTGTTGTTTGTTGTTGTTTTTTTTTAATAAACATTTCTTTTGTCCCTCTTACAGATAAAGATGTTAAAGAAAAAAATGCATGAAAACTCTCTGAGGGGGAAAAGAAATTAAAATATCTTGTCAGCATTTTGCAAATTTGAAAAATATCAATTAGCTTTCAAACAACGGAGCCAGCAGGTACAGAATTAATCCTGATTTCCTGTTCATACTACCTCATGCCCCCTAAAAGGTTACTAGTGGTGCAGTTTTAGTACCATCAACTAAATGAAATGAGGTCTCTCTGAAGGGTAAGGAAGGCCACCGCCCATGAAGCCCCCAGCTGCTGTCTCCATGACCCCCACCACTGAGGCTGTATCTCAAGCAGGCCTGGGAAATGATTGGGTCAGTCTTCTTTCAATTCTTGTCCTAACCGGGAGACACTGGAGTTCCTTGGTCCTCTAGTTGGGATGAACTAGTGTTTAGTTTGCTTCAAAGGCTGAATCAGATTACAAGATAAGTGGGCATCTCTGAAATGAAAAGAGCTAAAGAAACTGCTACCAGTTGAAATGAAAATGGGGAGGGAAAAGGGGGAAGTTTAGAAACAGGGAGAAGAGAGGGTGGATGAAAGGAACATCATATCCTTTAGCCCTCATGGGATAACACAGCCCAGACCAACATGTCCGACAGTCTACTGTGTATTACGAGTCTCTGGTGAGAACACGGTACTCTGAAACTCTCCTCCTCTCCCTCATTAAAAGACAATGGGAAGCTTAACTTTTATAAAGGAGAACACTATCTTCCAAACGTTACAGTCTTTCCATGTCTAGCAGGAGCTTAATCCCTGGTAGTTTAGATAAATTACCGTGTGCTTCAGCAGGTTGAGGTTAAAACTCTGAGATTTTCAACTGATTACTAGAAAACAGCCCGTTATCAAGTCCTTACTGAGTAATTTGCAGCTTATTTCACCCTGGCTAATTAAAATGTAATCACTATTGTTTGGCAATGTGCATTCTGTCAGCAGTTTTACGTCGGAAAAGAAATCTTGCCAAGAAAACACAAAAAGCGCTTTTCACCAGGAATTGGCTTGATCTAAACTGCCACTTTAGCCACTGAAACTGTAAAACAAGTAAGTTACAACCGCTTGACAACGCAATAAAAAATACTAATCCATTTCCAAGATAATGAACTATTTTAATGGGTACCCTCCTTCAAGGCATCCAGTGAAGAGGAGGCCACCTTGACAGCGAAAACTCCGCAGCTCCCGCCCCCAGCGGGCAGAGCAGCCCCTTCCCCACCCGCCTCAGGGTGCACCCCGAGTCTTTTTAGCCCAAACCCGATTAGAGGCACAGGACCCCTCCTACTGCCGTTGAAACAAACGTGCTAAAATTTCCTTTCACACCGACTTCTTGTTTTTAAACCGGGTTATCCGTAAATATCTCTAGAAGCTGCCCTTCTTGCCAACACCCCTGCCCTGAACACTGCTTTATCCGAAACGTTTGCCCGAGTGGTTCCCGCTTCCAGCCGGCAGGAAAGCATAGGCAGCGCGTTCTCCACTTGGTCCCCTGCACGCTGCCGAAAGGTGGGGTCATCCCCTTCCCACCGGGCTGGCCAGCCCTAGCTAAGAAGGGACTTAGTGCGGAGGGAGGGAGAGGGATGACTGTATAGGAGAGGTTACACGGTTTGGATGGAGTCTGCTGCGTTTAATACTTGCACAGTGTAGAACAGGTGGGGAAGGGAGACGGGAAAGGTGAGTGTAGAACTGGAAGTCGGGAAAGGATAGCCAGATATCCGCTGCGGTTACACCGCCTCCTCCACCGCTTCCAGCGCGGTCCCCCTAACTTCTTTTTACACACGGCAGGTCTCCCGCCACTTCATTCCCATTTCCCCACTCCCGATAGCCAGAGATGTGTTCCTCTGATTCAGAAAATAGTTATTCCCACCCTCACCTCCCAGGAAGTCGGAACCAAGTATTACCCTTTCCCTATCACCGTTCTTGACAAATAAGGTCAAACTTCCCCACCAGGCCGGTGAAACGAGCCGCCCACAGGCGCCTGAGTACGACGACCTGCCCGGCCCGTCGGCAGGCGGGATCGCTCAGCACCACCCGGGAACAAACCGCACCCACGGCTCTGCGGCCGCCCAGCTCCAGGCATCCCGAGAGGCAGCGGACAGGGCCCGTCCCGCCGTGCCAGACGCAGCGGCCGGGAGCGCCAAGCACCTGTAAGGAGCCGGGGCTCAGCAATGCCCAGGACTCAGCCCGCCCGCCTGGCGGGCAACTGACAGGCGCGTGGCGGGGTGCGGCGTGCCGGGAACCCCACGATCTTCCACCCAGCCATGCACAGAGCCCGCCCGGCACCCGCATGCACCGGCGGGTCCTGGAGCTGCCGCAGGGCCGTACCCACCTGCCCGCCGCCGCCTCCGGCTGCCGGCCCCAAGTTAGCCAAGCAGCACCCTGGTCCCCACCGTCCTTTCCGTACTGACCCTGCGCCGGTGCCGACGCCAGGGCACCCTCAGCCACCCGCCGGGCGGTCCAGGCGACGGCGATGCGCCCCAGCGTGGCGCCATGCCCCTACCTGGAAATGCTTGAAGAAGGCGGAGATGCGGGTAATTTGGAGGCTCAGGCACCTGGAGGTGCATCTGGCGGTGGAGAAAGCCTCGTCCTGCCTGCGGCCGGCGGCGCCGGTCCCCGGCCCGTCGGGGCTGCCGTAGGCGGCCGTTACCCAGAGGAGCAGGGCGAGGGTCGTGCAGGGCGCCCTCCGTACCATCGCTCCGCGGAAAAGGAGGGCAGCGGGGCGGCCGGGCGCGGCAGGTACCGGGGTAAGCTCCCTCTCGGCGGGCTGGTGCCGGGCTGTGCTGGGGCCAGACAGCTCCGCGCCGCAGAAACTACACAAGAAAGTTCAATCATTCAACTCTCCTCACCCCCGCCCGTCCCGGCCCACAGCCCTCCCCCGCCCGGCGGCAGGCGGGCCGAGGCTGACAGCGCCCGCGCCATTGGCTGCGCCTAGCGCCAGTACCGGGGCGGGCGGGACCTGTGGCCGCGGGCAGGTCGGCCCGGCGGGGTCGCCCCTGGCCCGCGGGGTCCTGTGCTCCGCCACCACCTGTGGGGTGCCGGGGCGGGCAGCGGCCAGGGAAGCCGTTTCGCCTGTCCTCACACATACACGGGTGCGGCGGGGGGGTGCTCCGTAGTGCCGGACCGGCACCGCGTTGTGACGGGGTTAAGCCGGGTGCTGGCCCCTGCAGTGCCGGAGTGGAGCTTTTCGCCCCAAGCCGGCCGTGGCTTTGCGTATCGGCCGGCGGGAGAAGGGGCCGGCCCTTGAAGCTTTGTCCGCGGTAGTCACTTTTATTTCTCTTAAAGAAAAGGACAGGAAGGCACGAACGTACTAAAATTACTTTTTTAAACTCGGTGTTTCCTGCAGAGGAACACCGCGGTGAGCATTTGTCCCAAGGTGAAGCCCATAAAGGCTTCTCCGAAGAGTTATTTAAAAATTCAAATCTACAAGTCATTAGTCCAAATACCTCTGGGTAATAGCTACAAAATTAAATCAGAGCCTTGAGCTTTAAAATGGCTCCCATGCGGTGTACATCTTCAGCTCACGTCTTTTCAGTCAGTTGCAGGGCCGGGAGCGCACACTGCAGTGTGTACCACAGAGGTTATGTACCACATTCCTCTCTCTGTGTACGTTCTATGGAATCCTCCCGTTGCAAGTATGTGTGCTACTAGAAAGAGCAAGTGCATCTTTTCTTACTGGAGTGTGTGGATTGAGCCTCCCAAATTTAAAAATCCCAAGGTCATATGAATTGAAATAAGTTGTCTTCAGATCGTTTTGAGGAGTTAATGCTAGATTAGTTAATTACTATAGGTAGTTGTTTAATGTGGTTATCAAATCCTATATTAAACGGTCTGCAGGAGCCTCCTTTACTGGGACAAATTTTAGGATAAATTAAGCACTCATTAGGAAAGTGACTTAAAATCTCGTCAAAGGCCTTCAACTGCTCTGGCTTGTACTAATTTTACATTAATATAATGGGTCTCTCTTTATAGATATCCTTATGTACACAAATCTGAAATAAAGCATATTCCCCAATGTAATTAGTCTATATTCATGCACCTTCAAGACACCAATATATATAAGAAAATCAAAGTATGAAAAGGTTTGCTACATCCAAACTACTGAAACAGTAATTAAATTCTAGCTTTAGATTCTAGCTATAATTTTACTATCTTACCATAAAAGGCACAGATTTAAGGGAAGCAGCATTGGTAATGTATAAATATAATAGAAAGCGAGACAATTTATAGTTTAGATATTCCTCTGAAGCTTACAGTGTTTCTTCAGCTGTCCAGAAATCTTCACTTGAAAGGAGCCAATAGGCTAGAATCCCTCCTGCAAGTGTGAACAAATTGAGATGACAGTTTGCCCCTTGGATGCTTGAGGGAGCACAGTTGCTAGAAGACGAGATCACCCGCCTGGCACACAAGTTCCCTGCTGCTTGCACTGTGTAACCATGTTCTTCCAGCTGTTTTGAAAGTGCCCAGGCTAGGCAAGGAAGACTGTCTCAGCTATGCCTCCAGAAGTCTTCCTCATCTTTTGAGCTGGAGTGACTACCTGCTTCTTGCAGTGAGCATAGGGCATAAGTGGCTTAGAAATGCTGTTTCCAATTCTCACTGATTTCTTACTGCTAGAGAACCAGTTACTTCACCTAATCCAGCATCCCTATATTTAAAAAAAAACAAAAAAAAAACAAAAAAACCCACAATATAGAGCAACACAGAAATAAATGCATAGTCCTAGCAATATTGTGACAAATAATGATGAGCCCATTCAGTCCTCAATATTAAGTTCAGAGATTTCCAGTTTCTAGCTGACTAACTTTCAAATAGGTTTTCTTAAGCCTTGACTAAAAATTTCATGACTTTTGCCCTGAGTCTGGAAAATTGCTTTACTGATTCATAGTGTTTACAGGTGCACCAAATGCTTTCAACTTTTGCCATATTTTAGCAGATAATAAGAACTGTTTGAAAAAATGTGTAGCTACCTGTAAATCAGATTCAAATCTAGAGAGGGCAGATGGTTCTGTGGATACATCCCCTCCGTGTTAGTACTAATGCAATTTATGTTATTATAAACCCCAGCTGTAAGTAAAAGGTTACAAATCATGTTTCTTTTGTTTTATAAAGTCTGGTAGCAAAGGGCACAGAGCCCTTAATAATTAAAATGTTTCTGAATACACAGTTTACTCAGTTTGCTTTTGTTTGAAATGTAGTGGTTACAGAGACCATCAGCACAGCCTGTGAATTCCTTTTTAGTGAGAACTGACTTGGTTTGCACACAAAAGACTGCCTGTTCAGTTCCAGTAAAACTGTATTCACACAGATCCTGTTCCCTTACATGGAGATTAAGAAACAGGGTCAGTAGCGCAAGAATTTAGTAGGTGATTAAAATTCACTGTGGTCTTAATCCGATAGACAAGATACACAAGTTTGTAAATATCCCTATTTTAAAGAGGTTAATAAATGAGTTGTAGGATATGGAATTTTGGAAATAAATAATATGTACGGTCCACTGAATTTTAAAGATAATTCTGTTCCATAGCCACATAGACATATAGATCCATATATTTTGCTCGCTCTTTTTTTTGTCTTCACTAAATGACATTAAATAATCTTTTAGCATTAGAAGCAGTAGAATTAGTACCAACAGATTCCTGCAAGTTCAGAGTGTTGGTTTTATGATAAAAATACAGTGATTATTTTCCTGCCTGTGCTTCAGAACAACCTGATAATGTAAAAACGAGCTTTTCTGAAGCCAAGCTTTGCGGAGTTCCGGGCTGTTTTTACAGGAGACAGCGCCACATGCTGGTTTTGTGAGGTGAGAGCTTCTGGGCTCTGTGCTGATTTAGTTCTGATTAATTACTTTGGTTTAATCGATTTTAAATTAAGATGACTGCATCTTAAGCAATCACTTATTATTCTAAAGGGAACTCCCAATATTAGGTTCTAATTTCAGATAAACAAATAAAGGCTATATTTTTAATGTTAAAAGTATTTATTGTTTTCATCTAAACCACTGTATTCTAGCTCACTGATTTAGTTTATTATATTAAATCATCCTAATGTGACATTCTTTACTTAGTTCTCTTCAGCTTTAATTATTTTATGTCAAAAATGATTATAACTCTGGGCACAACATAATCCCCCAAACCCTTTCCAGCAACTCAACATGCTGGAGTGCCTGCATACTAATGGGGAGTAGACATGATAAATCAGAGATCTGTGTGCAACTGCAGGGCTACAATCTTGTCAGGATCACAGAGACATGGTGGGATGGCTCCCGTGGAGTGCTGCAATAGAAAAGTATAGGCCCTATAGGAAGGACAATAAAAATTGGACAGATAAAGGTGACATTACAATGGGTGTCTGCTGTAGGCCACCTGACCAGGAAGAACAATGGATAGGTGGGTGAGGCTCTCTACAGACAGGTGGGAGCAGCCTCATATTCATAGGTCCTCATTGTTATGAGAGACTTCAACCACCCCAATATAGATAGAGGGACAACACAGCAGGGCATAAGCAATCTAGGAGTTTCCTGGAGTGCATTGTTGATAATTTCCTCCTCTGAGTGATAGAGGAGCCAGCAAGGAGAGGTAATCTGCTGGACTTCATATCAATATGCAGGGCTGTTTGGGATATGAAAGTCAAAGGCACCGTTGGAAGCAGAGAGCATGAGATGGTGGAGTTCAGAATCTTGAGGGCAGGAAGCAGGTAGAACCCAGAATTTCAGGAGAACAGACTTTGCCCTCTTCAAAGATCTGTGTGGAAGTCTTGGAGGGAGGAAGAGAAATCTGGTTAATATTCAAAGGTCACTTCCTTCAAGCTCAATAGCAGTCCATCCCAATGAATAGGAAGTCACGCAAAAACACCAGAAGGCCTGCATGGATGAACAAGGACTCCTAGCAAACACAGAAATAAACCATACAGAGTGTGGAAGCAGGGACTGCTAAACTGGGAGGAACACAGAAGCATTGAGCATCCAGGGATGAAGCTAGAAAAATCTAAAGCTCAAATGCAGTTTAATTTTCCCAGTGACATCAAGGACAACAAGAAGGGCTTCTGTAAGTACATGGGAGACAAAAAGAATACTAGGGAAAATATGGACCCATTGCTCAACAAGACAAGGGACTTTGTTAAACAGGAAATGGAAAAGGCTGAGGTACTGAATGCCTTCTTTACCTCAGTCTTTATTAGCATGACCAGCCTTCAGGAATGCCAGGTCCCAGAGACCAGAGGGAAGGGTTGGACAAGGGAAGATGTACCCTTGATGGAAGATCATCAGGTCAGGGAGTACTTAAAGTGAACATGAATAAATCCATGGGCCCTGATGGGATGCACCCATGAATGCTGAGTGAGCTGGTAGATGTCATTGTGAGACTGCTTTTTAAACTTTGATCAGTGATAGCCATTAGGGGAAGTGTCCAAAGACTGGAGGAAAGCAAATGTGATCCCTATTTTCAGGAAGGGAAAGAAAGAGGACCCAAAGAACTATGGGCCAGTCAGCCTTACCTTCATCCCTGGGAAGGTGATGGAGCAGCTAATCTAGAAATACATTTCTGGGCACATTGAGGACAAACAAGTCATCAGGAGTAGTCATCATGGCTGTGCCAAGGGGAAGCCTGGTTTGACCAACTTGATAAACTTCACTGATGAAGTAACTGACCTGACTGATGAGGGGAGAACAGTGGATGTTGTCTCTCTGGACTACAGTAAGGCCTTTGACACTATCTCCTATAAGATCCTTACAGACAAGGTTTTGGTGTATGGGCTGCATGGGGAGATAGTGAGGTGGGTTGAAAACAGGCTGAATGGCTAGGCCAAGAGAGTGGTGACCAGTGGCACAAAGTCTAGTTGGACAGCAGTGACAAGGGATGTATCCCAGAGGTCAGAATTGAGTCCA